ATACAGGCGCTGTGGAGTAGCAAGGGCTTCTCCAGCTATCAGGGTCAACCTGGATAGGTCGATCGAATGCAGCCTCTATAGAAAGGAGGAAAGATAGTGTTAACTTAACCAATATGTTTTCCCCATTCGCGGTCGCCCCATTCTCTACCCACAGGAATGTATGAACAACAACTCAATCAAGCCACCTACCTCTACGTTTACCAGCTAGGTTGTTCCGGCGCAGTGGTTAAAATGTGGCAGCCTTTGAGGAATGCAATTTCACGCCCACACCCAGTGCTTTTCTTCTGGCATGCGGCGGAAATCGGTGTTGGAAAAAACAGGCTCGGACAAACTGGTGGTTTGAGCTGTAACAAATGCATGAAGCTGTAGGGTCTGAATGATAAATTCATTACACTGTAAGGGTATGAGCAAAAAATGCACCAAGCTGTAAGGGTATGAAGACCAAACTCATCAAGCTGCATATAGGCGATTACTGCCGGTGTAACTATAACAAAGGTATAGGAGAATGAAGGAGCCTGGAAGCCTTGGAGGAGATCAGATTTGCCGTCAAGATGGTCGAGGTGGACTTGTGGGCAAACCATGGTCATCCTCGACAGTCGTGAAGCAATAAAAGATCAAAGGCAAAGCCAAAGGCGAGCAAAGAAACCAGACTCACTGTCGCAATAAGTGCTGCAGCCGTCAGCCCTGCACCTGGACCCCTAACTTCCTGCAGAAAGAACAACAATGAAAAAGGACGGAAAAACAATGGCCATGCTCGATCAGACTGGCTTGACTAGAAAAGCCCAAACTTGAGAAACAGCAAACAGATGTGGCCTGGCCTATTTCGCACCACACGAGTCCTGCAACAGAACATCCTCCTCATTCGACACAACAGAAAGCAATACCCTTCACTCACTATGCTCACTCCTCACAGGGAATAGCCATGCACATGCAGTATGTGCAGTAACAAAAGGAGATGCACTACGCTATTCAACAACACCGCCCCTTCCAAATACATTACGCCCCCCGCCGCCCAACCCCCCCACAACACCTTCTCCTCCCCAATCCGCAACAACCAGGACTCTCCTCCCTTCCCTTACTCCCGAGGAACGTTCTTCCCTTTTCCACAAGTGCCACACATCATCCCTCTTTTCCTGACCGAGGTCCTCCTGCATTCGGCAAGAGTGTGAAACCACCATTGTCAGTCTCCTCCCAACTGTGAGAGGAGCATCTTGTCTGTCTTCCTCACGACCCCACAAACAACATCCACCCTTTGTTCCAAAACTCCTCCCCTCGTTCTCCTTTGCACAGAGGATCATCTTCGCTGTCCTCTTCAAGAGCGCACAAACATCTACTCTTGTTCCTGAGAACTCTCTCCCCTCTTTCTCCTTCACACATACATAAGAATACATTCAATATTCGCCTACAAGCACATCCCTTCGCCATTCGCAGCAGCCATTGTCCCTTCATTCCTTCTTCCACATCCAACTTCCCTAATTCTACCACAAGAACCTGTACTCCTCCCACAACATCCGTCCACCTCATTACACAAGCAATATTCCTTTTTCAGTAGCAACAAACACCCTCCCTACATGCAAACGATGCAGCCTTCTATTCTCCTCCTCACATAATCTCCACCGCATCCCATTCTCTCTAACATAATATCTACCTCACTCTTTTCTCTGTTACATAATCTCCAGCTTCGTCCATTCACTTCCAAAATTCCCTCCTCGTTCAATTCTCTCTTGCATGGTCTCCACCCACCCAAGTCTATTTTCTATCACATTATCTCCATTGCATTCCATTATCTCTTTCATAATCTTTTTTTTTTTTTTTAATGGCCAGATGGACCACAGATCAGATATTAAACTGAGCAGAACAGATACATTGCACTTGACCTTAGTTATAGCCAAAAGGCCGAATTATCTCTTTCATAATCTTCACTCACCCCACGAGCACAAGTTCTGATGAGCAGGGACCCTTTATTTTTTTCTTTCGCTGCTGGTTCGTTGTTGGGTGTCCACTCTATGGTACTGGTGACAAATTTGGTTTAAAAGGTTTTGGAGTTTTGAACTTTTGATGTAATAAAGACCATGAGAAAACCATGAAAAGAAATTAGCTATGTTAACCGCTTCTCCCCACCAGCGATACTTTACCTTTGCCAGCAAGAATGTCGCCCATGCAGTGTTTGCACTGAACACTGGAGCCGTGAATACGCACACAGTCTCCACCGACAGCGGAATGTTGAGTGAATTGGCAATCCTGCAATCGTCGAGTGCAATCCTTAATCGCATCCTTTCTCTCAAAGAATCAATGTGAATTTTTGAAAGCAAAACCCACATAGATACAGTCCACTAAACAGTCCAATCTACGCACGTCAGCCAACCATGATGCTCAACATGTTGGCAAACTCAATATAGAGCAACTTGATGACGTCTTGCCTGCCTACTACAGCGACTCTCCTTCCTAAATCAAGATCCAAGCCAAGGGCCAAGCAAACACCTCTCAAGTTTCACGACCTTAAGAACAAACTTCAGAACACCCAGCCCATGCGGAGGTGAATGGTGCACACATGGAACTGTTCTAAGGACATTAGTTTTGAATCCTGCGAGAATCAGACGGATAGAACGTGAATAGGGCCTGCTGGATATATTCTCTGTGACTCTGTGGCTTACATCTCAGCCTTCAGAATTCTTGGCTTTGAAAGACTCCGGAAAAAAATTCACCGACTCTGGCCGACATTTCAGTGTGTCTCCCTGGGTTCTTTTCGTACAAACCAAAGCCCTGTCTATTAATTGGTAGAAAGGGACTCTGTGAGCAACCTCACTCTGAGCTGTAGAACCCTTAATGGCCTCCATAAATCCATTGAACAAAACTAATGATTGACCTGCTACAGTCGTCATCCTGCAAGAGCAACTTCAACCTCTCTCTCTCTCTCTCTCTCTGTGTGTGTGTGTGTGTGCGTGTGTGTGTGTGTGTGTGTGTGTGTGTGTGTGTGTGCGTGTGTGTGTGTGTGTGTGTGTTTTGTCATATTCGCTATACACTCAAGGAAAGCATGACTGCAAAAGACTGTTTCATCGGACATTCACCGACTCGTCAGGAGGTTGTGTGTGTATGTTGTGTGTATGTTTCTTGCACATAGAAATTTTGGAACGTTTTGGATATAGCACGTGTGTTTTGGTTGATTTTGCGAGTAGTACGAGACCAACACCTTGACACCTAAGATTCCGTAAGCAGGGGATGTTTGTGCCTGCGCATAATCTATTTTATCTGAGAACACATGCAAAGACATTTGACAATATTTTCTTCATTCGGTCTTTAGCAACCTCTGCACCGTTGTTTCGCCCTGAACAACTGAAAAAGTATCCCGACTCCTTCATGCACTTAGATTGCCACCCTCGCTTTAGATAGCCATGGCAAAGAGAATAGATAGGCTGAGCAAGGAAAGGCCACTCACTTCCACATTGTCCCTGCAGTGAGCATGAGCCCTGGATAGACTGTTCCGCCAACCACTCGCCCCAAGGGATACCTGCAGCATGAACCACCAGCCCAACACTGCATCAGCTTGAAAACAAGAAAAGGTCACCTGCAACAGCCAACGAAAATCAAATTGGCGGCACAAAGTTCTCGAAGGTGCCAATTAGTTAAAAACCGGTTGCGCAGTGGAAAGAACAAAGGCACGAGAGAGAGTTCCAAGACGGCTTTGCTGCTTCGCTCTACACATCTAATCAATTGCGGACCCTGTTGGGAATGTTTTCCACCCACCTCCGTTCTGTTGCCGCATCAGAGAGAACCACTTTGGATATAGCATCTGAGGTCCATCACCTCTGGTTTCCAACCACGCTAGATTTGCATGAAGCGAGTCCAAGCGAGGACCAGGTTCTTCCTTGTCAAGACTACAACTGATGTGGGGGGGTTAGGTTTGCCTCGAAATGTCCCTTGCTAACGAGGCACTGCAAGTTTGAACAGATGAGGGGGAGGACCTCCTCTGAGTTCAACCAACACAACCTGCCAGCCAAGCAAGCACCTTTCAGAAAAAGATACACCGTCGACAATAATCACCTTCCTAGTTTCTGCCTTGATTTCCGAACAGGGCAGTGAGGATGACGGATTGGAGGAGAGGGTTGGAAGGAAGGTTAGAAGGAGGGTTGGAAGGGGGCGCAGAGAGAGGAAAAGACTTGTCTGCCACTTGATATCGGCCGAACACAAAAATCCACTCAGCACAGCGATGACAGACGAAGCCAGATGCTTAAAAAAAGGTTAGGAAGGCTGAAAACCAGACGTGAGACCTGAGTTCAAATCCATGAACCCTTCACCCATGAATCCATGCTAAAAAAGAAAGGTTTCACCCAAAGAACATACGAGAAAGTACCCTTCACCGTCCTCCGGGACATCCGTTAAAATTGGAACGATACAGAGAAGATTTGCATGGCCCCTGTGCAAGGATGACACGCGTCAATAGAGAAATGGTCCAAATTAAATGATAAAAGAAGATACCCTTCACCAACGGGCCTAGCTCAGTCGGTACACCCATGAACTGTCGAAAAACAGACCTGAGTTCGAATCCAGTTGGAAGTAGATGAATTAAATTAAAAATTCTGAGTGTGACAATACCTCAAGGCTGTGGAACAGGGGGGGGGGAAAGCACCCTTAACTGAGCTGCAGCTCTTCAAACACCATTCTAAAGGCCTCGTCTGATCACCTTAGGAGCAGGCCCACCAGCCGGGAAAAAGTCAGACAAGGGCAGGGGTTTCCAGTTGGCCTTGAATAGGGCAAGCTTTTTTTCCCGTCCATGCGAGCAAGGGACAGGCCCCACCACGGTTGTGTGTTCAGAAAACATGCACCTGGTCAGAAAAATGGTCCGGTTTGTTCACTTGCAGAACAAGCATAGCACCACTGGCACATTGCAAAAAGGGTCAGGCCACTGGGGCTGTGTGTTCAGAAAGCATGCACCTGGTCAGAAAAATGGTCAGGTTCGTTCACTCTCAGAAAAGCATAGCACCACTGGCACATTGCAAAAAAAGGTCGGGCCACACTTAGCTATATCTGTTTCTAGCTGTTGGAGTCCACCACATACTACACGTACACAGAGGAAATCGATTCATACGGAAAATGGTCAGGTTCGTTCATTCTCAGAAAAAGCATACCACCACTGGCCCGAACACAACGCACCCTCATCCTGAACGTATACAGGCAATGATTCAAGTCTGATACAGTCATGATGATGAGGGTGGGCCTAACAAATTCATATTGCAGTAGGTTATCTTAATGCAATTACACCCACAAGAAATAACCAGACAGCTATCTGCTATGGAGGATGGCCTGTTCCCCCAAATAGAATGTGCAGTTGTTATCGCCATAGCTAGACTGAACATTGGCCCGAGTACAGTTATAAATTATAATGGCCCTGCATTAAATTTGGGGAAAGACGGTAAGACTCTCTGTTCCCCAGTCAATAGACTGGAACTTCCCCACTGAGCAAAAACAATGACACAGTTTATTCTGCCCAGTCTCTGCTAGACGGCATGTGGGATTTGCTGCTAGAATCATGCTTCCTCCATGATGTGGGGGGCATCAACTACTGCCACACATATGACAAATCCACAGTAGACACAACAACTAGAGCCATAACTAAAACACCCCTTAAACGACTAGTACCTCCACCAGTTGGGAAAATAGGGCGCCCTCAGGTGGGCCTCCGATCTTTTAGGATGCAGAAACGAAACAACGGCCGCCGATGAGATTTATCAACGGCGGCCGCCGTCGGGCCCTGGCTCCAATTTTTTAGGAGTCTGGGAAAACTGCCAGTTTTCCCAATTTTCCCAAGACTGGCGGAGGTACTAGCAAAGAAAGAAAAGGATCTCAAAACACACAAAAAAAAGCACACGTTCAAACACTAACCAAGGCAAACTGCATCTACTGCAGAAGCCGCTTCTCTGCAGTTCAAGTACAATTGCACAGTTCTTCTCTTCCCTCCTGAGAAGTTCCCTCTTCACTGAGCAATACGTCATAAGCAGCAAGAAAAGCTATCACTCGACAACAAGCCCATTCATTCATTGGGCACGGCAATATCCACCAACGGGCGTATAGCTCAGTTGGTACACCCACGAACTGTTGAAATACAGACCCAAGTTCGAATCCAGATACAATCAGATGACCAGAACAAAATCATTCCGAATTACATGGCACAGGTAAGTTCAATGCTGATATCTCAAGGCCGTTGCCCTTTTTTAATTACGAACATTAAAATAGAACTGCAATTTTTTAGTCCTTAGTAATTATATTTAAGCAAGTTCACAGTTTCTTTTTCTTTTTTTCTTTTTTTCCTTTTTTTTATGCCCCGGGGGGGGGGGGGGGAACTTTTCTTGCGAGCATAGAACCCTACCATGTTCGATCGTCGAACCAGTTCCAGAAATTGTACACTCCCGCTTTTGACAGATACTGTAGAGAGAAGGGAAAGGACCAGACGAGAATCCGCCACCACAATTAGACTCAGGGTATCAGCCAACGCAACAGGCAGAGTTTGAGTGCCGGCCAGATATCAGATATCAGATGACACAAAGAGCCTCGCTCCACTACTCGCCACATGCACAAAAGACAAAAAAACTTATGGTGGTGTACCTTCCCCTGTTCTGGCGGAAGATTCATTCTCATTTTGCACATTTCGTGAGCCGTTGAGCGAGGCCCAAAGTGTCAACAACAGAACTTGGAAACTTTAAAAACTTCTTGTCAGTCTGATTCAATTAGACGACCATTCGATCCTATTGGGTGGTCCAATGCATGGCCACCTCCACTGCCCCTGATGCCTTCTGCGCATTCATGCCACATTCTACAAGGGGGGACATGGGTGCATCCAGTAGCGCTGCCTTGTAGAGGCGTGGTACAGCTAGGGACGGGAAACCAAATGAAAAGCAAACAAAAAGAGCAAACAAAAAGAGATTTGAAAAAAAAAAAAAAAAACGGGAAAAAAACGAAAAGAAAGCAAACAGGAACAGAAAAACAAAACAAACCAGAAAAACAGAAGGGTAAAAAAAAAAAAAAAAAAAAAAAAAAAAAAAAAAAAAAAAGAAAGAAGAAGAAGAAGAAGAAGAAGCAAGGGAGAATTGCATCTGTACCCCATTTAAAAGATGGGAATTCCTGATATTCCCAGCTGTACCCAGTTCCAACGCCCACATTGCATCTATACCCAACCCCTGTTCAAGGTAATACCCTACTTTTCCAGTGAGGCAACATATGCCTGTACCCGGTCCCACAGGTAAGTCAACAGGTAAGCCCCCTGGCTCCAACTGATCCTCTACTCCTCTAAACCCCGCTGCAGTGTGCTGCAGCCCGAGCTCGAAGCTGATGTCATCAACATGACGAGCGCCCAGCGCTGAAGTCTACTACTACTGCGCCTAGCGCGTCGACTACTACCTCCAAGTCTGTTTGTCAAATGAGGCGGGCCTAGTGCTGCGTGGCCAAGGAAGTGAGCCTCCGAACTGGAGGCAGGAACTGGTGCCCAAAGTGCCAAGACTGGCGCCCAGACTGAAAGCAAAAAGTCTTGGCGCCCAGACTGAAAACGAAAAAGTATTGCCGCCCCAGAGATGGGCCTGGCCTAACTGACAGCCACCAAGCCAGTATCGGCCCTCGTATGCAGTCGGATACATGCAGACTGGAGGGAAGGGGACTGACTCTGGCTAATGGAATACTGCTGAGGCTCAAAGAAGAACTAACTGACCCCTAACCTCTGGTTAACCCTCTTTAACCTACTAGGGCCCCAAGGGGCCCATGTGGTGCGGACCACCCATGATGTGGTGCAGTTCTCCCCCAAATAGAACATACGGTCATTGTGAATGAGAGAGAGAGAGGTAGATTTGAGCGCAACACGAAATGTGAAGCTGCGCCCCCTAATAGAACATATGGTCATTGTGGCTCAGGGAGAGAGACAGTGAGACAAGAGGTCTGACGTGGTGTAGTCATCTCCTCCAATAGAACATACGGTCATTATGACTGTTTTTGATACAGACACAGCCACAACTACTGGGCATTCTCTTGCGGGTGAAGATGAGCTTTCTTTGTTCCGTGATTGTTCTTCAGAAAGGAAAGAGAGCCGCAGAGCTATGAGAGAGAGAGAGAGAGAGAGAGAGATTGGGACGGCCAGAGAGTCAGAGCCTTGCCCAATCTCTCTCTCTCTCTCTCTCTCTCTCTCTCTCTCTCTCTCTCACTCTCTCTCTCTCTCTCTCACACACACACACACACACACTGGTTAGACTGTAGGGGTTCAACCTCCTGATGAGTCGGTGAAAGTCCGATGAAACAGTCAGGCCAGGCACAGTCATTACCTTTTTTTGGAGTTGTATACAGCGAACACACACACACACACACACACACACACACACACACACACACACACGCACACACACCATTGCTGCCTCCCCACTCATTCTCAGTTGTGGGGGTGTTGTGCACTTGCACAAGTTCGTGCTTTCAATGCTGGAGCAAGTGCCACTTTCGAACTTTTGGTGACCACTTGCCCATGAGTGTGGCCCAAGGGCCGCCACCCAGTACTTGGACATAGGAACAATTTGGCCGGACAACCTCAGTCCGGGGTATGCCCATAATTTGGTCTGCGTATGTCCATAATTTGACCATTCCCGTAGTCGGGTACAACCGCAATTTGGTGGTACCAGCCTTCGCCCTCCCCAGTCCCAGTCATGATTTCGACAGGCCATTTCCTGGGTACAGAGGCAAGTTGGGCACTGGGCCTGAGTATACCCCACCATTCCCATCGTTAAGTGGGGTACGGATTCAATTTCCCCAACAACAAAACCTCCAGTGGCTACCAACAGTAAGCCCACACTGGGAAAACCTTTCTTTCTTTTTTTTTTTTTTTGGGGGGGGGGGGAGGGAGGAGGGGATGGACAAACTAATGTTGGGNGGGGATGGACAAACTAATGTTGGGCGACGTTTGAGCACTCGCTCCCACGCGATCGAGGCACGAGATCCGACAAGTCAGGGTGGGGACAAAAAAAAGACTTCCTAGGCCACCGCGAAGCACATGCACCCAAGGCTTGCTTTGGCGCGCAAGCTACAGAGCCATTTGCTTGCAGACAGTCACAACCCAGACACAACTTGGAAGTTCTGATCGAGTGCCACACCCAGAGGTCTCAGGAACGGAGGAAATATAGCGGAACAAGGAGCAACTAGATGCAGGATATTGAAAGCCAGGATTGAGTAGAAAATCTGGCGCTATCCAGTGGCCTAGCTCAGTTGGTCAGTTGGTAAGGCACGCGCAAGTGGCATTCAGGAGGTCTTGGGTTCAATCCCTATTGGGCCTCATGCACCCTCCTGGGCAAGCTTGGCGCCCACCACCTAGAGATAGGCCGTTGGTCCCCCCGAGCGGCATTGAGCAGAGACTACTGATGTTTGTAGGAGAAGGGGACCGGAGGGTAGGCACAGCGACTGGCCCATCGAAGAAGCTCGGTCCTGATGCTACCGGCTGACCCCTGACCGGTATCGCCCACCTGCTGAAGCAGGTATCGCACCTGCTGGTGGGTGCAGCTCCTACATGTTCCCTCGCTGAACACAGACGTGGCTGCTACAGGGTTCCCCGTAATACTATAATGACAATGATAATAAAAAGGCCTGGAAGGCTGTCCTATCCAGATTTGACAGGTAATTGGATTGGTTGGGCTTAAAATTAGCCTTTAAAAAATTTTAATTAAAATTAAAAAAGAAGAAAATATGGCACCTTGTATAGGTGAAGACGCTAGACCCAGTTTGCAGGGAAAAAATGAATACAGCAATATAAAAACACTGGCCATCACGACAGAATATACAGAGAGAAGACAAGAGAGCAGAGAAAGCAGCAAAAGCACAGACGCGGGAGTAACCTCGCCTTCCTGTTCAAGAAAGCTCAAAGAGGGGGGAAAAAAAAGAAAAAGAAAAAGGGGAAAAAAACTGCAAACAGGTGACTGCCTCCCACCTT